GGGGAACGGGTACCGGTTCCGGAACGACGGTACCGACGGACGACGGCGGACGGGAGGGGNAGGACGGGGGGGGGGGGGGGTGGGGTGGGGAAGGTCGGTTGGCGGGATGTGAGAGAGCGGAACCCGGTGCGGCTCCAAAGATTCGGTGGGAAAAATGCGTTGACGACCGTGGGGTATGGACTGGACACCCGATGCACTCACGCGGTAGTCGGGAGCAAAGGATTCGAGTGTCGTGAAGGAGTAGTTGTCCGTCCATTCGCCCTGAGGACCCTCCTGCGCCTGGAACCTCCAGACGAGTTGGGACTGGAACGCATCGCGTCGTGCAGCGTCGTCGTCGTCGTCGTCGAGGTTGCGATGGCGATGCTCGAGCTGAGTATCGGCAGCATAGGTGGCGGAAGCGGGCAAGTCGAAAGACGACGAGGGCATGGCTTGCCTGACGAGGCGGTGGGTGATGTTAGCCCTGCCGCGCTCCTGATGGCCATGGCGAAGGAGCAAAGGTCGCATGAGGCCCTTTGCACCAAAGCCGACGTCGACGACGTAGAGGGCCTGGCTGGCCGCTTTGCTCGGGGGTGCGAGGTGGCAATCGACAAGGACGAGGAGGACCATGTGGCTGTTGCCGGTCCAGGCGGGAGGGGAGTGGGGGTCTGACGGCGGTTCGCACACCCTGCCGCTGACCGAGTAGGCGCGGTAGCCCAGGGCGCGGAGCACGTTGAGAAAGAGGAGGTTGTGCTGCATGCAGTAGCCGCCCTTGCGGGCCTGGACGAAGCGGCGGTAGACGGCTTGCGGGTCAATGTCGACGGTGCGGGCTGGCTCATAGTGAATCGAGGTGTTTTCAAAGGCAAAGGTGGTCAGGTGGTGGATCATCAAGAGCGAGAGGGTGGCGAGCGTGGGGGGCGGGAGGGGCGCATCCTGTCGATCCTCGAAGCCAGCGAGGGAAATGGTCGAGAGGTAGCGCCGCACCTGTGCCGGCGTGTAGAGCGAGGCGACGTGATTGAGCGACATGGGGGACGGTGACGGTGGCAACCGGGCAGAGTGGTCGGCATGGGGTCTGGGGTCTGCAAACGGCGGCTGTATGGCGTCAACCTGTAAGGGTACGGTTTACTTGTCGACCCTCGGAAGAAGCGGTGGGCAGACAGGTCAAACGAAGCTCGACACACATACAGTTAGAGATAGACTCCGAGAGAGAGGGCCCTGCCGGCCCGCCTGCCTGCCTGCCTGCCTGTCTCTCGACCGGGGCAATAACCCAAAACGGCTCATTGCACAGACACCTCTTCTTGTTGGCTCGCCCTCTCTCCCTCTCTCTCTCCCTCTCCCTCTCCTCTCTCCCTCTCCCTCTCCCTCTCCCTCTCCCTCTCCCTCTCCCTCATTCCCCCCACTCTGTTGGCGTCAAACGCGTCCGTCTGGCCGCCCGCACTCCAACCTTCTTCGCAGCCATCACCCACCTTGCAGACGGCCAACGCTACGTTTCGCTCGGCCGTCGCGGTGACGTTTCACCAACGCTTCCACCTCGATCCCACGTCGAGACCCAGCGCAAGCATCAGCCTCGTCTGCGGCACCGCAGCCTCCCTTCTCTCCTTGCCCTCGGCTCCCCGCCCTCGCCCTCGCCTTCCCTCGACTGCAACTACCACGCACCGATCCCAGGCACCGCAGCCAACCCACTCGCCGACATGGCATGCCGACAACGTCATCTTCACCGCCACCGCCTCTCCAAGTGACATCGACTCCTTCCACAGCCGCGCGCCGCCCGCCAGACCCACAGTACTGTACACACATCGACCCGTCGCCTACCCCTCGACACCTCCCCTTTGCCCGCCAACCTCAGCCGCATCCTAGTCCCAGCCCGCTCTGTTAGCCAGTGCCCGCCGCCGCCGCGATACCCTCCGATACCAGCGGCAGCGCCAGCCGCATACCTAACTCGTCGAATCGCTCGCCCAGACGCAGTCTCATGCCCTCGACGATGCCGTCGCCACACCAGAAAGACGGCTCTGGTGGTCGCGACATCCTCCCGCCGTCATCGGACGCCACTGCCGCCGCCCCCGTTGCCGCCATCGACGGACTCGCCCAGCTCGCAGCCGCCGCAGCGCCGCCTTCGCCCCCGACAAATCGGCCGCCCTCCAACTCGAAACCCTCGCCCCTGGCCGCACTCGCAGATGGAGAGACGCCGGCAAAGCGGGGATCCAACCTTGCCTGCCTCAAGTGCCGGGCCATCAAGGTGCGCTGCTCTAGGGCCAAGCCAACCGATGTACGCTGCAAACGCTGCAACCGCCTCGACCTCTCCTGCGAGTACAAGCAGCACCATCGCGGCCGCAAGCCCAAGAAGCGCCAAAAGACGGGCACAGACACCCTGCCAGACGACTCCAACGCTTCGCCCTCGGCCCAGTATGCTTCCGACTCCGATGCCAACGGCGACGACCCCTCAAACGCCCGCCCCGACCCCGACTCGCCGAGCGGCAACAGCAATCACGAACCTGCACCCGATCCCGGCGATTCCATCCACGGCCGGTTCATCGGCCCCTACCTTTCAGCCATCCTCAACCCCGCCACCACCCTCTCACGGCGCGAGGTGAGGCCACCGGCCCCATCGGATGCATCTCTGTCTCCTCTGGACCCTCGCCTCGCCTCGTCTGGCTCAAACTCAAAGCAAGGCGCCCCTTTGTCATCGGATGCGGCCAGCAACGGCGCAGCTACTTGGTCGCTGGCGCCTTTCGACCGCGAGCCGACTCCTACGAGGGATGCGGTCACCCAGCGTCTCATCTCCCTGCGACAAGCGACCGAGCTGTTCGACTACTTCTTCGCCGAGCTCAACCCTCCACTGGCCCTATTCGATCCAAACTTGCATACCGTCGACTATTGCCGACATCAACGGCCCCTGGTCTTTTCTGCCATCATAGCCACATCGACCCGGTTCTGCCGCCCTGACCTCCACCCGCGCTGTCAGGCCCTCAACCGGTCGGCGATGTCGCAAGCGGCGGCCGAGGAGGCTTGCTCCATTGACCACATACAGGCCCTTATCACGGCCATTACATGGAAGGACCCGACTGATCGCACCACCAACCGCAAGCTGCGCCGCGCAATCGGCTACGCTTTTGAACTCGGCCTGCTTTTCAGCTTCGAAGAGTTCCGCAGTGAGGTGGACAGCATCGATGCGGCCAGGACTTCTGCCGCGGAGAATTCGACTCCTGGTCCCTCGGACGCGTCCACCGCGCAGCAGGGCTCGGGGTCAACCGTTTCATCTTCCATCCTTCGAAGGCGCGAGGAGAGGGATCGGCAGCGGACCTGGATCATGCTCTGCCTCGTTCAGGCGGTGCTCAACCAGGGAGACCGCGACCACAGGCCCCTTCCACTTCAGATACCCCTCCGCTACCATCCCGACATGACCACCTGGTACCATTGCGGCGGCGACATTACGCTCAACATCGACGCCCGGCTCGCTTGGTCGCTGGAGACGGTAGCTCTCTTCCACGAAGTTGATGACATCGTCGAACTGACCACGCGGAATCCCAACCCGACAAGTTTCGGTGTGCTCTTCCACACCTTCGGTCAGCGCGCCGACACGATTCGAAGGCGTTGGTTCAAGGTGTCGAACGGACAGTGTTAGTAGTCTGGCGCGAGCATTGGCGGAGGAGGAAAAGATGCGGGTTTCAGCCATCAGTGGAGGTGAAAGCACTGACGGCCTCGGACATTCTTCCTCTCCGCCTGCTTTGCCCGCCGATGGGACGACTGCAGACCGCGCACGATACCCAATGGATGAATCCGCAGTCGCCGAGCTTCCTTATCTGGACGCGCATCGCCAGATGTTCCTCAGCGAACTGCACTGGCACTGGTCCTGCAAGGTCGCCGCTTTCAACGAGAAATCGCTGCAAGCTACGCGCAGCACCCGCGCGGCCGCGGCCGACTTCCTCGCTCAGCCTGGAATCTGCTTTGCCCGGACCGCTGGGCTTGCGCTCGATACTCTGCAGCTCTTTGTCACCAACATCGCCAAGCCCGGCTACCTGCGGGTGGGCCACGACTACCTCGTCATCTGCGCGAGCCAGGCTGCTAAATGGCTCTTCCTCTACCGCGACTCGATCGATCCGATGACACTGTTGTCAGCGCACGCCACGCTGCTCGAGATTGTCAAGGAGTGCTCGAGGCCCCAGTACCTGCCTAGCGGGGAACCCTCCAACATCGAGCGCGAAGCGCCCGGCTATCTCGTCCGTTATGTCGAAGCCCTCATCAATGGCGGTCTCAACGCTGCATTGCAGAAGATGGTCACTCGACAGGGATCGGCATCGAGAAAGAAAACCCTGCCCGCCGAGCTCGCGGGGCAGGGCGACGCGGGAGGGCGTCACAGATTCAAGTCGGGCTCATCGGGCTCGGCTCCATCACCAGGTTTTGTGTCCAGGCAGCCCTCATTCGGGTCGACGCCAAGCGGTCTTGAGGCGCAGCATACCCCGGGACAGCCCGTCCCCTCGATCCCCTTGGCGCCTCCCGAACGCGAACGCAGAGCCGTCCCGACCACGCGTGCAGAATCATCAATGCGCTTCGCTACCGGTAACCCCTGGTCGGACAGCGGCGCGCGGAGCGGTCAGATGCCAACAGGTTTTACCGCAATGACCATGCCCTATGATCGCGGCCATCGGCAGCCTGCTTCGCAACTCACAGCCGCATACGGCTACGGTGAAGGCACCACCAACGCCGGCGGGTCCCCGGCTCCGTCCTCGCCCTCAACAGCTTCGAGCGCTCGAGTCATCAACCCGCCGCACCCCGCCTACCTGTCCAACCAGCAGTACCAGTATGCGCTGCCCGCGCACCGTCCGCTCTCCGGCGGGTCCTTCCGCAACGGCCCGTGGAGCGTTTACGAAGGCGCCGAATCGAGTCCCGACCTGGGCCAGCAAATGTCATCATTCACCGCGGTCCAGGGCACGCCAACCCAATCATACCCCGATCGGCAGCTGGCACCTGGTCTTTCCCAGCATTTTGCCACATCATCGGCACTGGCTATGGATCCTGCCCAGGACCACAACGTGCCCCTGGCGCCGGCAGTTGCACCGTTACCCGCAGACAAGGCATCGCTGGGCAGCCTGGTCAGCCTCAACGCGCAGGACCTGTCGTATTGGGACAGCATCCTCGGCTCGGACCTGTCCAGCTTCAACTGAGGATCTGCTTCGACGTCTCGGCTCGCGCGAGGCTTGACCGCCAATCGCGCAGTCGGACGGGGGCAGACCGGCGGGAACATCCAGAGCAAACGAGAAGAATGTCCATTTCATCGGTGGTCGAAACTTGCCCTTCCATACGTAGGGGCCATTGTCCTTCTTCTCAAACGAGCCGATAATAACATGCATGGGGTTCCGGATTTCCCATCGAGGAAGCGACGTGCTTCACTTTGTGCCGCCACCGCCGGCGGGCCCATAAGCCTGCGCCGAGTCCCAAAGGTGCAGGGGCGGCGCGCTGGCCATGTCGCCTTTGTCACGGGAGCTTGTCGGGGCTTGCGCGCTCGGCCAAACCGCGGCGGGCCGGTCGAAGTTGAGTGACGACAGCCAAGAGACCCGTTTTGCGGCCGCTTCGTCCACGCCTGCCGAAGACGTTGGCTCGGGCAGGTCGTCGACGCTGTCAAAGACCTCGGCCGTCATCGGCTGGGCCAAGCGCCCGTGCGTCGATGCAGTGCGGAAAGAGGAAGCCCCGGAAAAGTCGCGTCGATCCGAACGCGCTTCAGCGACCGTTGCATCGAGAGGCTTGTTGGGTTGACCGGCCTGTGAGTCGATCCAGAAGGCGTCTTCCCCGCCTTCTTCGGGATGCTGCTGCAGGGGCGGAGCACCGGAGCGAAGCCGACTTTCCGTTGCACGATTGGGCAGGAGCAGTGCTTGTTGCCCTGCTCCTGGCGGCAAGGTGCCAGACTCGGGGTCGTAATCGACGTCATCCTTGCTCGCATCAGGCACCTTCCCATGACGAGCACCGTCCGGAAAGTCCCTGTCGGCTGCCGATCGGTGAGGGTGGCCAGACGTGAATTCTGCTCCGGAGATCGCGGAGGCGGCGGCAAGGGCGGTCGAGTCAAGCGCCTGTTCTGCAGCGGCCGAGCTTCTCCGCGGGCGCTGCGGCCGCACCACCTCGAAGCCCCTTGATTCGCTGCGATCGTCCGTGATTTGCTCGTTTGCCACGGCAGCTTGCGGATCCTGATCTGCTCCTCGAGATGCGCCAAAGGCTGACGACAGCGCGCCGAATGCCGCACTCATCTTACCGAGACCCCGCCAAGCTCCTTGATTCTTAGAAGAACCCCGATGCGCTCCGGTAAAGGCATCGTCATCGTCGTCTTCGTCGCTGCTGTCCGCGAGAGCACCACTGCCGCGTCGCTGCCAGAACTTGGGTTTCTTGCCTAGCTTTGGTCCCTGGGCGGGCGGGCGATCGCCCATGGCATATTGCGCTGCAATCTGCGTGCTGGTATGATCTGCGTGCGCATGGCCCAAGGGGACCGAAGGAGACCCTCGCCTATCGACGTGACCAGCTGCTGTGCTCAGGCCTGGCTGGCGCGGGTTCTGCATCGAGCCGATGCTGCCATGTTGACCCGCAGCGGTCGCAGCGAGAGCAGCCGATGTTGTCTTGTAAGGCGATGCGTCAGTCGCTCGACCGCCTCCGGTTCGAACGAAGCCAGGGCCAACCGGGGGCGACGAGGGGCGTCCGGCGAATGGCCCAGGAACAATGTTGTGGGATGGGTTGGCGGTGCTCATGGTGGCATGTGGTGGCAGTGCAGCCATGATGATGCCGCCGTCATCGTGAGGATCGCCGCGGAAATACGTCGAATACGGGCTGTTGCTGTCGTTCAGGTAGTCGGCAGGCGACTTTCGACCTTGAAGCTGGCCGTCGAGATATGACGCGTACGAGGTTTGCCGCGAGTGCATTGGCATCTTCGACGTTGATGAGGGGAGTGAGGCATGTGCTTGGCCCGGCGAGCTGGGGCCGGACGCTCTGAGACCACCAAGAGACCCTGGCCGCGCGGCGTTCGCAAGCATGAGTGTCTGCGTATTGGTCGAGCCCGATCGATTGAGCGCCTGGCGCGATTCGCGTTTGGGCCTGCCGAGCTGGATCGTGTTGCGCCGCAGTCGAATGTCGCGGCAGGCACCGCCTAGTCCCGAGGAACGCGCCGAGGCCCGCTCATCGAACGGCGCTCTGCCGAGCAGGCGGACCAGTCCCTCGCCCAGCTTGACCAGGAGGATGAGCGCCGCGCATACATAGAGGATCGCCTGGATGAGGAGGATAACGTACGTCAACCACCCGGCAGCCTGGCGCCCGAAATCGACCAGAGGGCACAAAAGGAGGACCAGAACCACAGTAATGATCCGAAGTACGCTCGCGACGAAGCTGATGGGACCCATGACCGCGCCGTCGCCCCAGGGCAGCCAAAGGCTTGCACCGAGGGCAAAAAGGACCTCAAAGACGAGCATGATGATGGCTTGTGCTGTACCGTTCCTCTGACCTGCACCGACGACGATGCCCAGCACGAGTGTGTGAAGGAAGTCGATCGCGCAGAACAGCTGGGATCCTGGACTGTAGGTGTTGTAGAGAGGCCCAAGCGCGCTGAGGGTGCCGATCGAGTCGTACAGCTTGGCCGTAGGTGTCCGGTAGATCCGAAAGACGAGGTAGGCGGGGATGATGACCGAAAGGAACGCGAACGACAGCGCCGCCAGGGCGATAGACGTCAAGGAGAAGCCGTCCGAGTTCGTCATGTTGTATGTCGTAAAGATTGTGATGGGAAGGTGAAAGAGGATAACGGCGCGCACCAAGTTGCCGTGCAACAACTTGAGATGGATGCTATTGTTGCTGGATCCAAAGAGGCGGCGGCCGGGTCGGCCGAGAAATCGGTAGCCGCCTCTGCGGCTGATCGAGGATCGCGCAGCCGCCTCGTCGTCGGCGTCGGTAACTTCCTTCGAGCGTCTGGGTTCGTCGAGCTGGAGCGTCAGGCCAGCTCCGTCCTCCTGACGCTTCCGAAATCGCAGAAAGGTGTCGTGGGTCGAGTCGATCATCCAGACCACCGCAGAGACGGCTACTGCAGCCGCAACGAGGATGAGCCAGACAGCCAAGCAAGTGCCAAAGAGATCCTGGGGACGGAGCCCGACGATCTGCGCAAACGCCTCCATGCCGGTCCTGGCGCCGTCGAGGTTCAGCAAGACGTTCGGCTGGCTCGCGTTCATGTAGAGCTTGGACGTGGGATCGCCCATCTGGGCGCCAATGTCGCCAGCAGGAAGGTTTGCGCGGGAGTACAGCGGGTCGACCCTTTCCGAGGGGCTATCTGAGCCGACGATCGCGGTGTTGGCGATCAAGCTGGCCCATGCCGCCCGCTGGAAGAAAGGATAGGCGAATGCAGGCCATCGAACGGCCACCATTGCTAGAGCGGCGATGAACTGCGTGTGCATGATGATGTCCCAGCAGCCCGGCGTGACAAATCTCAGCAGGGAAGCGCTCGAGGCGAGCTGCTGGCCGCTCAACGAGGCGACCAACGTCGGTGCGATCGTGTCCCTGACGATGTTTGGCTGGCTACCCTCTCGCGCCTTGTGACGGAACGCTTTCGCCCTCGAGTTGACGGCGCTGATGACTCTCGCCAAGGAGACGACGCCCAGGTAGCCTATGGCCAGAGCGACAGGGAACCAAAAGATGAGGTCCCAGTACCACTTGGCTCCATCATAGGGCGAGGCGAGCACCTCGATGCAGGCGATATCCTTGGGCGGGCTGGAGGTGTCGCTCAGCCTGATGCGAGTCCACAGCGTGCCCAAGGTATAGGTGTCGTTGAGCGGGATGCCGAGTCCAAGCGCGACCTGCCCAGGACCGTACAGGCAGCCAGCGGGCACGATGAGCTGGTTCTCTGGATCGGGTCGAGTCGGATAGAGGTGATCGCAGAGGTACGAATTGTTGCTGAAGATCTGGAAGGTCAAGAAGTTGGTTTCGACAGAGAGCGTGCCTAATTGTACGACGTTCCACACGTGAGAGGGTCGAGACGTTAGTGAGGAGACTCTGAGACGGCGTCAGGCCAGCCATTGAGGAGGGCCGGAAGAGATCGCTGCCGCTGTGCAAATGCTCACTCAGCGGAGGCGTAGACAGGGAGCTGTCTGCCGTGCGTCCAATGGCGTTGGTCGCTCCTACCGCCGTGATCCTGAGGACACCGCTGGAATGGGCGTTCTGTTCGGCGAGGACATTAACTCGATTGAGATCGTAGTCGAACTGAGCATACACGGCGGAGACGTTGAAGCGAGCGTCGGGGTCGACCATATCATTCGAACCCTCGCAGCCGGTAAAGAAGACGTCGAGGGTGCGCGGCCTAGCGAGTCGGTGGCGCTGCGGGTCATCCTGCGAGGGGATGGGCTTCTGCAGAAGGAACGGGACCTGGGGGCCGGAGAAATCGAAGTCGGGTACGGTGGTCGAGGTGACCTGCGGAGCTGACGAGGTTGGTGTGCGAGATGCCTCGCCCGCCGACTTTGTTGGGGTGTTTAGCAGGCCTGATCCCGTCGCCGAGGCCAACTGGGTGGTGGTAGACGTGAGGACAAGCGTCTGGGCCGTGATCGGCGGTATGAACAAGATGGACAAGCATAGAGCGACGAGCGCACCCAGGCGGATCACTGTTGGGTGCATGAGACGCCTTGAAGCACGGGTTGGCGCCTTCATGGTCATGAGAGGGAGGCGAAGGCGGCGAGGCTCAACGGGTCGGGCGAGCTTCGATGATGACCGGCAAGGCTCAAGTGGCGACAAGAGAGCAGGTCGAGCACAACAGAGAACGCCGCGGGTCTGACATCTATAGCCAGGCTCTTCGGTCCGTCCTGGTCGGCGCCTCCTGCAAGCGAAAGTGCTGGGAGGGTATCGAGATGAGAACAAGCCGAGGTTATGGGTATCAGTGCCAGCGGCAGGTTGGCATGGCCGTGAAGACCGCTACCTAGCCAGGCGCTGCCCAAGTTGAGAGGGCGAGAGTTCAGGCGACGCCGCGCTTTGACGATCTTCGGTGATCAGGGAAAGTCGTGGAAAGGGTCGAGGAAGGAGTAGTTAGCTCTGAAGAACGACGTGGCGGCAAGTGGGCAGTATGTGAGGCGGGAGGGTTACAACAGAAGCAAGCGATCTCGGTGCTGGTGGCGCCCAGCCCTATAAGGAAAGAGGAAAGTCTCGTACGAGACTGTACTACGGAAAATGCCAAGAGGTCGCGGCTCCCTGACTCGCGCAATTCTCGGGATTCGGAAAAAGTCGCGCCCGGTCGTGCTGCCCACAGTGCCCTTTTTTGCCAACAGCACTTTCCAGTCCACCCATAGCTC